CCCGGCTCGATGGAAGTGTCTTCCTGCGATGGGTAGGTACCGATGAGAAGCAGATGACCAGCCAAATGGAAGACAACCTTGTTCCTTCAGGCTTCCCGTATCCTTTCGGTACAGGGTGCAGCTGGCCAAGGGGGCAAAAAGAGTACAGGCCGTACGCAGTAGTAGCGCGCGAATCCACCTGAATGATGCTTCTACGCAACGGTGCAGCAAAGACGATGCCGCGATGGGGAAAACGGATGCAACAGGCAGAGAGAGAACTCCTGAAAGTCCACGCCGCTGTCCGATCTCCTCCTAGGGTACAGATAGCACCTAACGGGTTTGAGGCAGTATGCCCAGTAGCGCAGATCTACCTGACCCTTTTGCCTTGGCACAGAGCCCCGTCGATACAGCACACAGCACGCAGCAGCACTCCGTATCGGTAGAGCGATGAAATGATTGAAGGGGGTTGGTAAATGTGCTGACCAGTGCCGATGACGAAGTCGATGAAGGACGTGAGATGGTCTGCTGCTAAGGCGGCTACCCGCTTGGACGGTAAGGAGCGATACGGTAGATGAGGTATGGTAAAGTGCCTCAAGAACCAGGGATAGAAGAGTGAAAAGAGCAGATGGGAATGGCAAGCATGAAGCGGGAAGGTCAACAAACGGTCATGCGGTCGAGTGTTTGTCGAGTCGTGGGTGGTGTCCTTTATCGAACAAAAGGAGTGTCAGGTGGTCGGTCTGAATGAAGTGTCTGTACGGAGTACCGGGCTACGAATGTTGCTCGAGAACGGGTTGGAGGTTGGATGAATGGTAGTTGAGTTTATGAGCCTCCTTTGGGGGAACGCGTAGAATAACGTAGACAGGACGGGGCACACGACCTCCTTTTCTTGCGGCTGGACGAGCAGCAAGGGACAGATTTCTGTCTTCAGTCCTACGCCCCTGAAATGAGGATTATCCGATTCTGGCGCATGGGTCCCGGGAGCCAAGGGAAGGGAATCTGGGAACTCTCTGCGGACGGGACGGGCTGTCCAATGCGATTGCCAGATGGACAGATTACACAAATTACCTCCTTCTCACTTCTCAGAGGCTGAGGAAGTTACTCGCCCACCAAGTATGGATCTGTGGATGGACCTGCTGCGTCGTACGCGTCTGAAAAACTATGGGAACGGAGCGAGGCTCAAAGATCAGAGAGAGATTGAGGGACCACTCAACTCCAGACCCGAACCTTCCCTCACAGATTCCATTTCTAATTCCACCGTCCAGCCCCACGCCTCGCAGGCACTACACGCCGCACAACTTCAATCCATCCTGAGCCGCGTTGTCCATCCCATACTATGACACTACACGCTCGGCACGCTGCTCTTGGCCCTCTCAAGTCACAGGCGATTTACGTATCGCTTACACTTCTATTTGCTATTCTCAACGTGAGTTCAAGCCATCATCTACTTCATAGGAGTGACCACGCACGTGAAACCGTTTGCTGACTCGATTTGTGGGCCATTCCCTTGGTCCCGAGGGAAGGGATCATCGGCGTGTCGTCGGGCTTTCGGACCATACGAGACCGCCCCCAAATCTTGCCTTTTGCAACCAATCCCGTATGCCGACAAACGACAACCATGATGGGCGTTCCATTCGTCGAATTGAGGCCCGTCTACCGTCACAGAGTGCAGACTACCTTACAGTGTATCAATCGGAAATTTCCTTTCCTTGAGGCTTCTCAGCCGTTGAAGATCGTCCCGGCTCGGGTCGAACTATCCGCCGGTGCGGTTCGCACACCCTCGTGGAACTGTCGTGCCTTTTTTCGTTTCCGGGCGCGCTATCCCGCTGCCGTGTGCCAGCACAGGCGTTTTGCAACGTCCATCCAACGGTTCCGTGAGGGTACACGGCCCCGTTTTTGACGACGATGCCGAAAACCGTCAGAGGGAAAGAGGCTCCACAACGGTGCTTTGCCGTCGTACCTGCCCTTCGCCGCGCATCAAAACATCGACGTCATTTCTTCAGGACCCATTCGAGATGCAAGAGGGTTCATCCTGCCACAACCGCCTGTACCCCAGACAATGCAACCACAAACCCTCTGCGCAATGTGTACGGCGTGACAGCCTGACCCTCGCCAACCTCGGATCTGAGAAATCTCTCTCCCCCAAAAAAGAATTCAGATTCGGAGTTGCAGTGGGACATGATCCAGCCTTTTCGTGACCACCTGACACATTGTTGCATGGACTGATCGACGAGTCAAAAGTCGCAGACACGTATGCACGCGACAGCAGACAACAATGCACGTCTGTTCCCACGACCGCTCGACCGACGATATTGGCACTGTCTCGAGAAAGACCCTGAAAGGGAACAACTTCCAGGTTTGGGCCCTCCACTTGGTGAACGCTGTGGTCCACAAAAGTCTCGAGAACCAAAGCTGCTCACGACACGACGGACGGGCCTCGTTTTCCACTAATCCATCTTCGTGCTTGAAAGTCTGCATTGGAAGAGCGGGGATGATTCCTTTTCTTTTACGAGTACCTAAACTCCCAGTCGATCCCCCCGCGCCTGGGTTGCTCACGAGTCGCGCCCGGTCAAGACCCCAAGACCCCAATACCCTTGAACATCGTGGAGGAGGGGAAGCAAACTGAATCGTTGACTAAGACACTGGAGGAATGACCGTTCGATTCCCGCCGAAAGCGTAAGTTTGTAATGTGGGCGACGTGGGGGAAGTGACATCCCGTAAGACCGTTGACGGTTGAATATCGCTTATTAGTCAACTTGTTGTGCAATAAGCATAGCAGTAGAGAGCTCCGATCTTCGGCCAAAATACTCAAATTCAAGGCAGAAATAATTGAGTATCATTCATTATGTCAATTGAGTTATGCTGCATGCGGTGCTATTCATCGCAGTGTGTGTGTGTACCGTAAAGTAGGCCATGCCTAGGGTAAACAAACGCCCGTCACTTTCCACTTCCTATCAACACCCTACCGTATACAAGATCAACGAAGCATACGGAAATTCCCCCAAAGAAATCAAAATGATCTTCTCACCGCAATTTGAAAGCATGTTTAGCAAGATATCACATGTGGGTCGTGAGGCCGGGGTGAGCAGCAAAGTGGGGACATATCGTGAGATTGTCCGTGGTGGAGCACAAAAACCTCAAAACACGACGAAAATCAACCCAAAAACATACAACACCAGGTATTCGATGGTCGTCACCGACCCAACTACTAATCCGGCCCTCATTGGCTTGTCTATGGGAGAGCGGACGGGATCCCGAATTTTCCAATGGGTATGGTCGTATGTGGTGGTTTGAGGCGAGTAAGATGATCATATTGTGGTGGGATGACGAGAGATTGTGTCTAGAAGGAAGTTTGTGTGGTTGTGAAGAGTGGAAGTAAGGCTGTTTACACTCCAAGATAACTCTTCTGAGGGACTAGATGTCAGAATTACTCCTGATAATATGAGATTTGTGTTAGATATCTGGCTGTTGCCCGCTTTAGTCCCCGAACCTTCACTAGACTCCACCAAAGAGCATGAGGAATAGAGAATACGTTCCTTGCAAAATTGTTCTTCTACAGACTTCTTGGGCTACTTAGTTGAGATGAACCAAATAAGTACATAGGGTTTCCTGGTATAGTTCGTTTTCACAATACGGCAATCGTCTTAAGCTCGCGCTACAAGACCTTACACTTATCAATAGCTCCAAAGGCGACTAAGCCGTTGACACTGAAAGTATGACATTCAGTCTTTGGTTATCTAATGATGAGTCTTTAATGATCTATGAGTCACTGTAATTCGTGTGAGGCGGTACAAATAGAAAACTTAGGATTCGTGATCCTCGATGAGCGTGATATTCTGTCTGGACATGTTTGCTGCTCTTCGAGGATAGAAGGACTTTGCCTCATCCTCTATAGACGAATAACCCCATTGAAAAGGAAACGAATGACAACTAGACACAGCGATCTCAGTGTTTGAGTAGGAAGTAAGACATTTGCCTCAACTTTCCCTCCAATCCCTCAACCCTCATACCAACATCAGGCACGGGAGGTCCACACAATCGAGTCCACCTCTCTTCAATCTTACATTTAGGTAGTGCCTCCTTTTGAGACACGCGATTCTCCGAGACCATGCAGCTCTTTAAGTTGTACGAAAATCTCATCATTGAAATGGTAAATGCTCTTTATCTCCCTTATCTTAGTCGGAGCCGGTTCCGCACCACAACACCAAACCGTTCCGTACAAGTTCCGAGAGAGCGGGGAACCCGATAACACCAAACCGACAACCGCCATACTTCAGGATTGGATGAAACAATTCTCAATAAAGTTGGATTTTAGATCTCTGTTATTTCAATGACGATGAACCAGCCCGTTCGGAATAAGAAGGAAAAGTCTCGAAGTGGGTAACACCCGCACCTCTTATATCTACTGTGGTCGGCCCCTTGACTAACACCCGGCTTCTAATCAAGGTGGTTGCCTCGTGTGTAAGCGACGGGTGAGTCTGCTATGAGCTGGCATTTCTATCGAAAGCTTTGAGACTCAAACCTAACAACGGAGTGCAAACCAAAAGCGCGTCAAGTGCGACGAGCAAGAGCCGAGCTGCCAGAGATGTATCAAGATTGGGACCGAATGCCCCGGATACAAGAGACCTGTGAAATGGTCTACCAAATATGAGAAGACGGCGGTCTCTGACCGCAACACGGCCAATGTTTGCAGAGGAAAGACTTCCAGACTGGCTGAACGTGACCAGAGACTCCCAGTGTTGCCGGAGAATCCGACATTGCTGGCACCTACACATCTTGAAGATGTACCCCGTCCCATTGAGACCAGGGAATTCGATACTGTCTTGGTGTCAGGAACGTTGAAGAGCATAGGTACCATCAGGCCGTTTCAGGACTGTTCGGGAGAGGTATCAGCACTCTTGCACTATTACTTTTCTACAGTCTGCCATGTTCTTTCCTCGTTCGATTCCTTGCACAATCCATTCCGCTCGGAAGTGCCTAGGCTATTCAGTCAGTCTCCGCTGCTGCTCTACTGCGTGTTGAGCATGTCCGCCGCACACCTGTACCAAAACGAAGAGTCAAAGATTGCTGTTCCATTGGAACTCCAGACCAAGGCCATCTCATACTTAGCTGGGCAGCTACCCACGCCACCCCCTATCGACGGGCTTGAAGTGTCCATCCGCCATGAATCAACAGTAGGGAGATTTGTTGGATCTAATATTCAAGATGATGTGCTGCTGGGGACTATCTTACTAGGAATGACATCGGTATGTTCTCAACGCTCTCTCAGCTTCATTCAAATTCTCCTGTGATCTATGGTTGATGAGTTTACAAACAGGCCTGGCACGTCGTATCTTCCACGGGGTTAGTGCATCTCCACGGATCGAGGGAACTCTTCAAGGCTTGGATGTCATCCAGCCATCTCAACACCACCAACGACAGAATGATAATGGGCGCGACGCAAGTCTTTATGATCTCATCCATGGTGTACTGGGAAGCCATGAGCTCCTTCATCGTGGACCAAGACACAGATGCCCTATCCTATCTAGACGTCTTCTGCCACCTCCCATATTCTCTCAAAAGGTACCCATGTCCCTGGACGGGTGTCGGAACAGCCACGTTCATCTACCTCGCTAAAACGGCGGCGCTGGTGAGGAGGCTGAGAGCTCTGCGGCGTAGCTCATCGGGCATGTTCCAAAGGAGTGACGGCATTACCCAGGATACATCCTACTACTCGGATCTCTTACGACAAGCCACGGTCTTGATACAGAGCATTTCGGCACTTGAAGCGCCGACTGTGAGCTCAGTCACGGATATCGGGGATGTGTTTACGCCTCCGGGTCACCTCATCGCCATGGAGCAATGTTACCGGCTGGCGGCTCTACTCGAGTTGACTAGGGCATTTCCCGAAGTAGTGGGCACACACGTCGTTCAGAACCACGACGCCGGGCTGAATGATGATGAGCAGGAGAAGAACCGGCCGGTAGAAAGAGTTTGCAATCTTGCTTTGAGAATACTCTGGATCATGGAAGGGATACCCGTCACATCTGGCACCGTCTCGACGCAGCTTTTACCGCTCATCATCGCCGGGAGCGTTCTCGGTCTAGTTTCGAGAGAGAATATTGCCGGTGAAGGTATTGAGTTTCTGGGCAGTTCGAAAGATGTCGCAAGGTGGAGAGATTTTGTAAAAATACGCACCCGTTGGCTTTACCAGTTGATTCGACTGAAACCCGTGAGGCATGGGTTGCTCATCTTGGAGGAAGTTTGGGCGCGCTTGGATAACTTAGACGCTGCAGATTGCTCTGGTGATCTCATACCAAAGAGTCAAAATCATCATTGGATCGATGTAATGGAAGAAAGGGGGCTAGAGACAATGTTAGGGTAAAGGTATAACAAGCATGGCAGAGGTACTTCAGCCCAGACTTACACATGAGAACCCGCAGACTTTACCAGGCATTGGTATCAGCAGAGGCGGAGTAAGTAGAAAAGCATTCAAGAATAAAGACTCAAAGAAGAACCAGCGTTATCAGCGAGTTTGGAGGTCTCGGCAGTTGAATGCCATCCGTTCACACGCTTCAGGATGTATTAGCGCACCTCGCACTTTTTGTCCTAATTAGGAAATATGTGTCCCCACCCGCCACGATGTAGTCGACAACGGCGATAGCAGAGACGGGAGTGGTGGACATGGGCATAAATAGACTCTGCCTTTCCAGTCGGATTCAGGCTTTGGACCATCTTGTTTTCATCAGCTTGCTCTAGTAATTACTCGTTGGACATCGTCATAGGTTATCATCCGCTCTACAACCCGTCGTTCTCCTTTCACACCATGCCTTCAACTCGAGACGGCTACCTCTGGACTCCGTCCGGGGAAACGATCGGTCTAAGTACAAAGGCAATGATCGAATCTACCCTGGAATCTTCCATCACAGAAACATACGACGTAATTGTAATCGGAAGCGGCTTCGCCGGTCTCATTGCCGCGCGCAACCTTAGCCGTGACTCTAGCACTCGAGTTCTTCTCTTGGAAGGCCGAGATCGCATAGGAGGAAGGACATGGACAGCCAATGCGCTAGGAGAGGACTTTGAGATGGGCGGGACATGGGTACACTGGAAAGTCTTCTCAAGTTATCACCAAGCAAATGATGCAGACCGACTGACTAGAGGACGAACAGGCATCAACCCCATGTTTTTACAGAAATCCGTCGATACGGCCTACAATTCAACCTGAAGACGTCTTCAGGCACAGCTGCCGTGGAACACACATTCTACACACCACAAGATTCGAGGCCTGCGCTGGTCGATACTCTTGCCACCAACATAGCCGTCCAAAATGTCGCGGATGCGTTTTTCTCCATCGACGGTCTGTCCAGCCGCGAGTTGATGCCTTATCCCCACGACCCATTCCGCCTTCCTGCGCTCTGGACAAAGTACGATCATCTCTCCGCCAAAGACCGTCTGGATCAACTCGACGTCAGCCAACGCGACAAGGACCTCTTCGACGCCATGATCAGTTCTTTTGGCGCGGTCCCCGGCAGCGAGTGCGGTTTCACTGAAGTCCTGCGGTGGTATGCTCTGGGAGGCCACTCTATGGCCGGAACGTTTGAGCTTGCTGGGATGTACAAGCTCGGTGGAGGCGGGATGACTTCGCTGGCCCGAGCGATTCTGGATGACTACCGCGGACATGTGGTGTTAAACGCCGTGGTTGAAAAGGTAGAGCAGCGGGGATCGACTGTTGTGGTGTCTACGAAGAATGGACGTCGGTTCGAGGCCAAGTATTGTATCTCAACTATTCCCCTGTGAGTGCTTCCTCTTCAACTCGAATTCCTAAGATGCTAAGAATATGCCCAAGGAACTGTCTGTCAGACGTGTCCTTCTCCCCCCCCCTCTCACCACTCAGACTGGAAGCCGTTCGGGCAGGTCACATCAATAAGGGAAGCAAGGTTCATTTCCGGCTTGCGAAGCCTGAACCGGGATGGTTCTCCATGGCGAATGGATATGGGACCTCACCTTGGTGTTTTGCATTCTCAGACCACAACGGCACCACTGACCAAGCAGACTCTGGCAACTTTTGCATCGGGTTTGGCTATGGCGCGCGTCATATCGACACGAAGGCGTCTACTGAGATGATCACGACTTTTCGAAATAACATCAGACCTGAAGCTGAGGTAACAGCTTACCTCACCCACGATTGGGCCAACGACGGCCTTGCCAAAGGGACTTGGAGTTGCTGGGGACCTAATTCAATGAGCAAGTGGCTTAAGGAGCTCCAAAGACCAGAGGGAAGGGTTCACTTCGCGAGCGCCGATTGGGCCGATGGATGGCGAGGGTTCATTGACGGGGCAATTGAGAGAGGGACTACCGTAGGACGGGAAATTGAGGTGTTGCTTGCGGGAGATAATGCCATTGCTAAGCTGTAGAGCCTATGTTTACTGATTAAGTGTGTTATATCGATCCTTAAGTTGAAATTTGCCTAGCAATGGAGCACCCACAGACAGCTTCAAATACCAGGGTGCGGGTTTCTACAGGTTTAAAAGTCACATCCCCAAGGACCAAGAGCCTTGATGTTTCCCGATAGAGGCATTGTCTTTGATATGTATCTTTATTAATAACAGAGGCGATTTTTCTCATCAAGATGAACCCTACTTTGTTGTACATTAACCGGGCCGCAAGCCAACCTTCTTTTCGGGTAGCTGCTAGGCCTCGCTCTCTCATCTTTGTCTATACCCTTTCGTCGAGTCTTCGTCATGTCCAACGATCTATCGGGCTCAGCTCCGAGACTCCACGTTCTACCCATCCAACGCCGTTGCTTGTTTTCTTTTTGTTGTGAACATCTAGGCTCCTTTTCTTCTTCTTCGTTTATTTCTTAATCATGCCATCGAAAGCGGGAATGAGGGTCTGTGCAAGCCAGAATGAGAAGACCAGCTTGGGTCCAGTCATGAGGAGCTAAAAGGAAAATCGAATGTCAGCAGGTGGTCGATAGAGGAAGGAGTTGAAGGGGAGCTGCTGAATAGTCTTACCTTGGGAACCAGGCCCTTGAAGAATGCGGTGGCACCCTCGTTCTTCATCATGTTGGAGATGATTCTGAAACCACTCTCGGGGTTCTCAAAGTTGCGGTTCTGGATACGGGTCTTGATGACGTCGAGGGGAGCGGAGACGAGGAGGGAGGCGGAGGCGCCGGCGATGGAGGCGATGAAGTTCTGGAACCACGAGGCCTTGTTGTAGTCCTCGAGCTTGAAAAGGTACTCCTTTGTGAAGGCGGAACCACCGAAGAGCTGTCGATAGGAAAGAAACACAGGTTAGTCACTGTCATAGACCCGAAATTGAGACTAGAATGTGCTTACAGCGAAAGAACCAGGAGCGTTACGGGCGGCGGTCCAACCCCAACCTCTGTACAGGCCGAAGCCCTCGTCGGCGACGATTCTGAAAACACCACGGCCGCGGAAGGCCTCGGGGTTTGTCTGTCTCTTGATCTTGAGGACGTCGAGGGGAAGGAGGACGATCTCTCCGATACCGATCAAACTGTGATGAAGTCGTGCGTCAGAAATGCGAGTCTGTCCCCACAGGTTCTCGGTCTCCGAGCTTTGCGACTGAGAGAATTTACTCACCTGCCGGCGGTGGAGTGCATGATAGCCTTGCCAGTCTTCTTGCCGAAGGCGCGCTCAAAGTCCTCGCCATAGTTCTTGGCCAATAAGTCCCTGGCGATGGGCTGACCGCCATACTTGTATATTCTCTGGAGGACCTTGTAGCCGGCGGCGTATCCCAGACCGGGGAAGAGCGAAACGAACTTGCGGCCCGCTGTCGCGTTGGCGGTGTCTTTGAAGATGACCTTGTTGAGCTGCTCGACGCCGGAGATCTTAAATGCGAAAACGTGTCAGCTTTCCCATGTCGTTGAAGCTTTGCTTGCGGGAGGCAGGAAAGGGAGGGGGTGGAGCTCGGTCCGGCGTACCTTGGTCTGGTTGCTCATCAAGCGCTTCGCGATGGTGTCGACCTGAGCTTCTTATTAGCTTCTCGTCCCACAGCTCTTCAACTAATCGTAGCTCTTCGTGGAACTCACGGGGTGGAAGACGGCCAATTCAGCGATACCAGCGGAGCCTGCAAAACGTCAGCGCGCCGGGCTTTCATGCGCGGGCGCAAAAAAGAGGGAGCATACCGGAGCCCAGAAGTCGCGCGGTGTTCGACTCCTTCTCCCGTCCAGTACCAGCAGTCGGAGACATCTTGATAGGAATCTGCGATAAAGTGCGAAGAGGAAACTATAGAAATCCAATTGAACAAGAGCAAAGAAAGGCGGGTTCCAGAGGTTCGGACTGTCGTCAGGTCGTGGGGGCACGGATATCAGGAGCTCAAAAGAGGAGGGTGATTCAAAGTTTTGGAGTCGACAGCTGGGAAATTTTTACTCAACCACTTTGGACCGAACTCGCAGCTTAACTTTTGCTGACCCTGCAGGGACAGGCCCCCCTGGACCGCCGAGCACCGGGAAGTGGAGCCTAGCACGGCAGGGATTGGTTCGCCGCGCCGAAGCAGCTTCCATCTACCGACCGGTACGCTAGCTCAGACCGTTCTCGACCGATCGGACTGGATTGCGGCTCGGTCTATAGATATGGATTCACTTGACCGCGACCTACTGAACGTAAATTCTCACTCGAAATCATATCATGTTGTCAGAACAAAACGTTCCGCTTGGACGAAATATAGAGTCGCACCCCCGTTTCAGCTAGGGAAGCCTGTATATAATGCTGAGACGCCGTTCCTGGAAAAAACTGCGCTTCCTTTTGATTTTGGGTATCTATCATCCTTTTGCCCTCCCCAATTTGGAGCCACCCGCTCAATAGCTCATTGCATATGCCGATGATGGTGGCACCTGAGGCGTAGTGTACGGTTCTATGCCTCAATCTAGTAGTCTCTGAAGACTCCCACTAGTTCGTCCAGTCTCATGACATGAGCCAGAAGTTTGCTCTGCAACTCCAGGTACTTGCTGTACTTGTTGTAGTGTTCTGCAGTCATGACCTCTTCCTCCTTGCCCTTTACGTCCCTTCTCTCGACGAATGACAGAATGTTGCGTTCTCGGTAGCGATGCACTTCCAGGTTTTGAAGGCATCGGAGCATTGCTTTGTAGTAGTCATCAACCAGCTGCGCCTCGGTCCTTTCAATGTCAAAGAACCAGAAGAACATTGTTCGCGTCGCTGTTCGACTGGCATCTCTGGGAACCTCCTGAACATCAACGAAGCCGGCCATCTGCATGGCAAGCATTTTGCCCTGAACTTCTCCTTTCTTCATGAGAGCGAGAGACGGGAGCATCTTCTCGTCCAGCTTGCCCTTCTCTCGCATAATGCGAGTCAAACGCAGTCCATGCCGACCGAATGACTGCTCGATGACGGCATCCACCTCTGTCTGTTTGAAACCCTCGATTAATGGCTTGAAATCGACGGTCCACTGCCCTCGGCCTTGACTGCCACAGTGCCGCAGAAATCCTTGCCGGCTTTCAGATAGTAGTAGCAAATGCTGCCTCATTTTATCGATACGGCTAGCGCCGGATATGGGCCCATCTTCGAATCTGACCTCGCGGGATCCAGAAGCTGTCCGTGGCCCCTCGTCTTCGGAACCGCCCGAATCTGCTGCGCCGTTCATGTTGGGACGAGCAGAAGCCCTCGGAGCCATCGGAGGTTCATAATCAGAGTCGTCGGAATCGTACATAGGCTGGCCTGGCGTGGCTCTAACCTTCTCAGCACTGCGAACGTCAATCTGATCTGCAGAAGCCTTTCCAACTCCATGAGAGACGTCAACGGATTCATCAAGGTTTTCGAGTATTTCCAGACTGGTCACAGTGACTTGGCGTGTGCTTGAGCCTGGACCGTCTGCGTCGTTATCAGAGTCGATTCTCGGATCCAACTGACAGCGGGACACCTGTTGCGTCAACAGCCGTAGAGCCGTGTGGTATACAAGGCCGGTGACTTCTCCAAAAGCATCGGCTGCGTACTGGGCTAGCTTCTGGTTTCGCAGCTCAACGAGACACTTCTCGGTGTTGACTCTGAGAACAATGTGCGACTAAACTTTGTGATTAGCCAGGGAAGAGGAAGAGAGTATTTCGTGCAGATGAAGACTCACGTCGATCTCAGGTACATCCTCATCCCAGTCTGCGGATTCTCTTGCTCCTTTGCCATTGGCAAGCTTCCTCCGCTTGGTCGAAAACATGTTACCTCGTCCGACTTGTCGCTTTAACTTTTTGCTCTCGTCGCGTGCTTCTCGGAGTCTCTTTGAAACTTCTGTTTGCATGAGTTCCTTGTTCCGTGCTGTCGCTCGCTCGCCAGGGGCCGTTTTGGTGACCTCCTCTTCGATTTCGCGGTAAACGTCTTCAGGGTTTCTGAACGTCTTGGGCCCAACCTGATCAACAATTTCCGCCACAATTAGCCGATTCAAGACAGCGTGGAGCTCCTGAGCCGCATGCGACGGCCCATGCCCGTTGACCTTTGCCTTAGAGCCGTTGCCATTGACATGACCATTCGTCGCATGGTCGCCATTAAGACCTGTCCCGTTCCTCCCCTCGAAAGCCTGTAAGAGATCCGATACCCTAGCGTGGCCGAGCTGCATAATAGTTTGTACAATCTCCTGTTCCGCGGGGCCGAATTCGGTGCCAACCATCTCGATTATTTTCCCAGCGCGGATAATATTGTAACATCCATCGGGATTCGCTTCATACGTGCCGATCTTGTTATTGGAGTCGGACTCGTGGTAGATAAGGCTTTGCTGAACGAGGAGGGCTAGGCCATGGCGCAGCTGCCGCGGAGTAAGACCAGTGGTTTGGATTAGTTGAGCAATGGTAGATCTGCCCTTGCTGAATAGCACAGCCAGAATTCGCTGGAAGAAGAGCATTTGTTAGCATGATCTGTTGAGAGTACATAATGTGTAGAGTGTGCGATGATGTTGCGCCGTGTGAGACATGGGGATAGTGTTTAACACTTACTGCAGGTAGCTCGCCGCATATATCGTTGACGAGGTGAGCGCATAGCTCAGCGCCATGCTTGGTCTGGTGGAGGAGTTAGAGGGATTATGACTTCAGCTTGATCAGCGCGATGCGAAACCTACCACCAACATGGCGAAGCTTGGATTCAGGAATCAATTGACTCTAGAGATCCTCTCAATATCCCTAGAGCTGCCACACAAGCTACCGAGAAGTCATTGAGATAATACAGTGCCGTGTGCTGGGTATTGAACAAAGCACTTGGCCACGAATGATTTTGTCGTAGTGAGGGTCGCGGTCTTCAAGTGGTGGAGGGACTGAAATAAAAGTATGGGAACTTTTTTTCTGAGCGGCGGGCCACCTAAGGCGGGGTGGGGGACAAAGTCGATGGAAAGCGCCGAGTCACCGACAGAGTCATGGAGGCTGAAGCTCCAGGTGGATGGAAGGCGTGGCTAGAACCTC